CTATTTCAGTTTCGTTTTGCTACTACGTTGGATACGTTATACTTGACGATTGGTGCAGCGTGTGCTCTAATTGGAGGTGCGATTCAACCGTTCGTTCTGATCTTAGGTGGATTCATTACAACGGTCTACCTAGAGCCTGGAGAGGTAAGTTCACTGCGATTGCCCTCCTAGAGAAAGTCATTCGAAAAACAGCTAATTTAGAAAACGGCCAACCAGAAATTTTGGAACGACGTCATGTTTTTTATTAGTTGGCTTGGAATCGCCGGTACATGCGCTTTATTGACATCCTTTATTCAGGTGCCACCTTTTTGAATATAAATAATTGTTCCCGTTGCCATGATCACTGTTGTTTAATTTAATCGGCATGTAGGATAACCCGTGGCGTTGAGAGAAATTTGTGTTATGCACTCATTTCGAGTTTATGCAATCCGTTAAGCTACCGCGATGTGTAATAGTTCCTGAAGCACTAAAAACTACGAAATTTTAAAGACTTGAGATTATTCATTTCCCAACGTGCTGAACAAGTTCTCTTTTCACCTGTGCTGATTGCCCATTTCATCGAATTGAGCTGCTTGTCAAAAAACCACAACCGTGGCCCATCTCTCTGAACAACAAGAACAATTTATCAATATGGTTTCCTAGGTTTTGAAGGGCGGAAGTGGTGTAGTGGCAAGTGGCGCGCTTACCACGCGAGCGGTCCGGGGATCAAATCCTGGGTCGTGAGTCGCCCGGGCCAACCAAGCCTTCCATCCCTCCGGGGTCGGTTAATTGGTACCAGACTTGTCTGGGAGGATAAAAACACTGACTTGTACATCGGCTGGCCCCGCAAGTCATTGTATAGGCCACATCGCATTCAAACGCCACTACGAATGTACAAATGGAAGTAGAATGCGTGCCGCATCCCAAAAAGGGATTGATCAACGGCAAATGCTTTATCCTTTATCCTTTATTCCACCGTAACCATATTGCACTAGGGTCGATAACATGTGGCACTACGCGCCTCACAGCGAACGCGCTTACGGTGGAACCTAGGAAACCATACTGAGAAATCCTTTCTGTTGCTAAACATAGCCTTACTGTCGATTAATAACTGTGCATCCATCCTGGGGTGCTGATAATCACAGCCGCATCGGGCTTCCACACCCACCCGTAAGTAATGGTAGGTGATCACCACCACTCCCTTTACGGCATCGTGATTCTGTGCTCTATAATAGGGAGGCTCGAGAGTGAACGGGACGCATTAGGGCTAGAGAAAGTAGGACGAGAACAAAAAAAATTAACTATTCTCAAAGAGATTCTTGCTCTATGAAGAAAACGGAATTTAGTCTTTGCTTGTAAAATACCGGCTAGCGAGTCCTCTTTGTTGTCAACAGAGAGGATTTGTGTCTGGAATCCAGGGCAACGCTTACCGCGTTATTTGTCGTCCCATTTGTTGACGACCTACCGAGGGAATTCAAGCGTACATTTCACCGGCTCGACTGCTTTCACAGCGAAGTCGTGAAATGTGTCAAACCTTCGGAGAGGTGAATGTTAATGAGCTAGTAAAACAAATAAGAAAAAGTATTTCAAGGAGGTGGTAAAATAGATAAGAAAAAATATGTGTCATCACTGAGGCAGAAGGCTGCTCTGGAACGATGTTAAGGAAGGATTCCACGATAAGGTCGAACATCGGAGGAGGAAGAGTTTTTGTAATGGGAGACAGGTGGACCCCTTAAAAGTGCAGACCGACACTTCGCAGGGATATACCCTCGGCAATCTAGCATCGCGGTTCTCATGGCTCCATCGGCGCACAGTTGGAGCGCGTCACTCTGTGAGAGCTTTTAGCCCCTCACAGAGAGAGCCTTAGCTTCGAAGAGGGCAGCACCGATGAGAGTCGCATCAATGTGGAAATCAACGGGCGAAGAAGGATCCCATTTTTCAGGTTCTCGCTTGTTTTCTATGGTTTTTTCTTCGTCCCTGTACTGGCCTTTTCTATCTTGATTCTAACAGGCTGCATTTCCATGGTAAGATCCGCCTGACGCCTCATATCGTACTGTCGACGTCCAGCAAAAGTCTCTGCCTGCTCCTCTGTGGTCTAATCGTCATCAGTCTCTCCAACGTTCTTTGTCGTATGCTCGTGTATACTTCCGTGGATTTTCTGGGACCTTTTTCGAGCACAGGCACAAGAATGCTGTGTTATGGGTGAAAGCACTCCACTGTGAGCGTAAATTGGATCTCACGTTCACTATTCCCAAATTCGGTGCACTTGTGCTAGCGAATACACCACAGCGACTCTCACCTTGAACATTCAGAGCATATTTAGCTCCCTCTTTTCTTGTGGGCTACAAAGCGCTTACTGTTCAGCGTTTGACTCTCCTAATACATTTAGGTGCCATAAAATGTGCCTTTAGGTGTTACAGGGCCTCATATAGCAAAATTTTCTCTTGTATGTCTCTTCCTTATCATACTCCGAATTATGATGGAAAAAGTAACTCGTGAGCAGTACATATATGTATAAGAAATTTTTCTTGGCCACCTTGCAGAAATCAAAAAGAAATCACAACAACTATTCATTCGTTCTTTCGTAACAACAAGTGATGTTCCTCTCCACTGAATTTCTTGTCTAGTGCAAAACATAGAGCACTATTTTAGAGGCAAGCCTCGGGAATAGGTTCACTAGTAAGAACCGCACCACGAGTGAACTTGTTGGATCTCATTCTATAGAGGCTGTGCCGGCTTCGTCACCCAAAATGCGCGGTAAGGCGCTGATCGTTGAGAAATCGCAATCATCAAGGCTCCATACCTCCGCAACTGAGGTAGAGATCAGCGTGCTCTCTCGAATGTTGTGCCTTCTCTGTCGATCTGACTCTCCAATCGTTCCACATTCGGCCTTAATTTATTTAGCTTTTCGAAGTTGAAGCTCTCAATTTCACGTTTTCGATGACTTTGCTTGCATTTTTTATCCACGTTCAATTTACTCTACAGCTCAATCACTACAAAGAAGTTTTGCCCACCTGTATCAGTCCATGGTTTGCCCTCAAACTTATCTCCTGTGGAAAACCAAAAACGACTCTATAAATCGAATGGTTTTCAGTCATTCTTCCTCCATCGTGGATGCCTGAATGTGGTAAATTCGCTCCGTCATCAGTACTTGGCTGCGGTATTGCGCCAGGATGCGACATGGTTCGATCAGAATACCTCCGGTGTCATCACTTCACAGCTGAATGAGTACGTAGGCTTTTCTGCAGCGTTTTCAACCAACAGTTTTCGAATGCCACTGCCAGTAGAGGGATGCAGTACCGGGTTACGTATTACTATCCTACTGCCCGTGATATGAGTTTGTAGAAAGATCTGAGATCAACAATCAAGGAAACTAAGAATTATTTGCTCTCAAATGTTTACTTCTCCTCCACTTTCGTTGCGACTACTTTCAATTTCGGAACTGCGGAATGAAAGATTTTTGTCAACGAAGCTTAGTCACAACTGCAAGTAAGCTCAACTCATTTTCCACCAAAGGAAACAATTACTGAGGTGCCTGTTACTCATTCCAAGATTTTCCGAACATTCGACTCTTGGGATGCCTGGGAAAGAATGTCATTCTTTTTTTGATGTTTGGGTTTTCCACGAGGACTTATGGTTAGAAGTGAATCGTTATGTTGTAGAATCTAGTTTTTTCACTGCTAAGGTGTTTAAAAGTTGGTGAAAATTGGGAAGAAGCCATGCTTGAGATTGGAATATATGCATGATCATTTTTGTCATGTTTTAGGGGAAGGAATGAAGCGGCCACCTAATGATGTAATCCTACTAATTCGACTCAGTTCATTACAAAAGTGAACGCAAAACTTTTCGCCAAATAAAGCAAAAAAAACCTTCGAAAATTTTATAACAAATATCTTTAAGCTGAAACTTTTGGAAAGTGACGTTTCAAAGAAAAAACTTCAATTCAAGAAACACTATAGTTCTACAGCGTCCATACTCGCAGGTGTCATGTGGGGTGGGACGGGGACATTGTTGGTAGGTGATGGAAAGTGGTTACAACTGATAAGGGCTGATAAGGGGCGTCAGAACGCAAAAGTCGTCGATTCCGTTACGCAGCTTGCGTTGACACTAGAGCGTCCATACTCGCAGGTGTCATGTGGGGTGGGACGGGGACATTGTTGGTAGGTGATGGAAAGTGGTTACAACTGATAAGGGCTGATAAGGGGCGTCAGAACGCAAAAGTCGTCGATTCCGTTACGCAGCTTGCGTTGACACTAGAGCGTCCATACTCGCAGGTGTCATGTGGGGTGGGACGGGGACATTGTTTGGTAGGTGATGGAAAGTGGTTACAACTGATAAGGGCTGATAAGGGGCGTCAGAACGCAAAAGTCGTCGATTCCGTTACGCAGCTTGCGTTGACACTAGAGCGTCCATACTCGCAGGTGTCATGTGGGGTGGGACGGGGACATTGTTGGTAGGTGATGGAAAGTGGTTACAACTGATAAGGGCTGATAAGGGGCGTCAGAACGCAAAAGTCGTCGATTCCGTTACGCAGCTTGCGTTGACACTAGAGCGTCCATACTCGCAGGTGTCATGTGGGGTGGGACGGGGACATTGTTGGTAGGTGATGGAAAGTGGTTACAACTGATAAGGGCTGATAAGGGGCGTCAGAACGCAAAAGTCGTCGATTCCGTTACGCAGCTTGCGCTGACACTGGAGCGTCCCTACTTACAAATTGTATTTGTAGTGGTACGTTTTTGAGTGACGTGCACACTGTATCATTGTATGACCACCCTACTTAATTGCAGTCTATTGCATGAATTCAACAAGTCTTCTTTAGACTCAAAATAATAAACTTTCTGATCCTATCGGGAAAGATCAAAATCTTAAAGACCTTTTCCTTTCCGGGTTCCTATAATAATTGGTGAATGTAAATAAATGATAAGCCTTCAGCTCTTCATTTATGTAAATAGGCATATTTCGTTTTCATTTTGAGACTGACAGCAAGAAAATCGTATTCACCGCTAAATTATCTGAATTCAAGAAGAATGCAGGATGTTTACAGTTGTGAGATAATTATGCCAGGTCAGCTCCAGACGTTATCACGCGTATTCTCGATGGACTTCAGCGAAACTGGGAAAAATCTAACACATTTAATAGTGAGGTGGTTAATGGAGTACCACATGCTGATATTCATGGAGCCCTCCTGTTTCGCTAAAGCCTGCCGTGTGATGCGCGCGATAGCGGGCGGAGCAAAATCGTATTTAATAATATATAACACAGCTGGCTCCTTTTTCAGGCTTTGATAATTCAAAGATGTTGGTGAATGAATTGTGAAAGCGCAAAGAATGAACATTTTCATGGAGCAGGCAAATTTCTTCCGAGTAAGAATTAATTTTTACACGAGTTAGTATGACATTGGGATTTCACTGAAGTCGTTTTCATTGAGAAAAAGCGACACAACTCATGGGACAACCTAATTTTTTCTATCGGGGCACATTTGTCCAAAAAGCCAGATGCAGCACGTAACTTGTTCAAGAGGATGAGGAGCGTGGGATGCTGATTTTTACGGCAGTGAATGTGACTTGTGAGAAAATCGTGGAAACATAGTACTGCTTCGGTTTATTTCCTCACGACGGTAACAGTATACTTCAGTAACATCGCCCGAATACAGGATGGCATGGGCGACAAGATGGGCCTCCTTATTCGAGGATTCTCCATGTTCTTCTCATCGATCATCGCCTGTTGTGCCATTAACTGGCAGATAACCGTGATTTCACTCACCATGGGGCCGATTGCCACAGTGACTATGGCCATGTTAGGAAGAGTATGTTATCTATATTTATAGTTACTATTATCCTACATCACTATTAATTGCCTTGTGACATTGCTAGAGAACGGAGCTGACTTCTTGACACTTTCTCTACGAGCCACGATTTAAAATGCGGAATGGCATGAGTGACATTATAAATTCCCTCAACAGGATTACCCTTCTTCTTGTCGACTATATATTGACGTCACTTTCCCACGCAGAGGGTCTGGGAACCAAATTCCCAATCGAGTACGTAAAATCTTACCCAGTTGGCCCTGCCGCCCACGTATAGGCCCATCCACTTGGTTTTCCACGTTCCGAAGATGGTGGAAGGTGGCATACCCGACACTTGAAAGATTTTATCAACGACGAGTGCTCCTTTTCCGTCCTTCATCAGAGTTTTGAACAGGATTTGACAAGGGTCACATGAATGAGGCCTCATCTTTTTGCTAGCTTCTTTCTTCTTCAATAATTGTTACAAATTCAGGTGAACTCGGTCAGCCTAGGCAAAGCGATGAATTACAAACAGAAGCCGCTTCCATAGCAGAAGAAGTCCGTTATGAACGTGAAAACCGTGCAGTCGTGTAACGGACAGGAACACATGGTGAAGGTAAGTCGAGAGTTTTATCATATCTAAAACGGGTTATCACCTAAGATAGCACAGATGCATAGTCAAATCATGTGATATAGATCGTTTGCGATCGTGAAGAAAACGCCTGTTTCATTTCAGGTACTCTTTGCTATATAGCTGAAGCAGCTTCAAACCAGAGTTTCAATTTTAAAGTACGGTACTCGCCGTAAAAAAAAACGAAAAAACGCGAAAAACGCGAATTCGCGTTTTTTTTTTCGTTTTTTCGTTATAACTCGGTTCAAAATTGAGATTTTCAAAATCTGAAAAAAGCATTGAACTCAGCTCGTCGAGTTCTATAAGAATATGCTTTTAAACTTTGGAAAGCCCTACTTCAGATTGCAGACGACAGCCGTAGCATCCCCGTCATTAACCTTTTAAGTCTCCCAGATTTCCGTTCATGATGCAGGTAGCACATGCCAGAACTATTACAGAAACGGAAAAGTTACCGTTTTCTCAATGTAAAGGAACTCTACCAGTTTCTGCAACCTTTGAAACGAGAAGGGGTAGGGAGGGTAATATGGCCTTTCTGTGAGTCGTGCGTGGTTGAAACACCCCACCCACCTTCTTAAAGGAGGAATTCACGATTAGAATGAAGGTCGAAGAAAGGGAAACTGACCTAGTTGAGGGACCCACGGACCTCCTGAGGGTGCGAACTGACGCGCAATTCGCATGGAAAAATTTGACCTCGGCGACCTATCATGCCTCAAAGCTGGCGGGTCCGGCGATCTCCGCCCACCGATCATCTGATCACTCGCCGTAGTTCAATACGTGGCGAGTGATTAGATAGCTGAGAGAGCGTGTTGAAGAGGGCACAGCGATGAGAGTCGCATCAATGCTCAAATCAACGGGCAAGGAAGGGGTCCCATTTCTCGGGTTCTGGGCCGTTTCTCATGGTTCTTCCTTCTTTCGTGTACCACTCACCATCCCTAGGTTAATTTGAAATGGGTTGCTTTTTCATCGTGAATTCGTCCTTTAAAGGAACAGCTTGTAGCTATAGAACTTCGGTTAAATTTCATATTCAGAGAAACTCAGTCAAGTCTCATGGTGAAAGTATTAGATTGTCCCATAGGTACTGTCACTTTTATTCAAAAGGAATTTTCTGCTAAAGTCCCATGTTTTCACATGAAGTCATATAGCGTTCGAAACATTTCTTGCAATCTCGTTGAGTTTCGTGCCTGCGAACTGGGAGGTGCAGTCGGTGAAGTTAGCCAAAGCGAAAACTAGGGTGAATATTGTTCGAGGATTCCTCAACGGCACGTCGAGGATTTTCGCCTGATCAGTTACGTTCTCTCGCGCGGACATTCACACTCGCCATGCGCGAGCCGTCTGTGCTCTCCGCGCGTACGTTCACTCTCGGCACTACTCTCGCACAACACAAGCCATGGTCGAGCAATAACTTATGTAGCTTCTACTCAGTTCCGACTTCTTCTGGTCTCTTTCGAATGGTCTATTACATAATGTAAAACCTTGGGATTTTAGCCGAAATGTTCCTTTTGCAAAGAGTGACACCACTGATGGGGTGGCCTAATAATTTTCTCTGTAGCGAAATTTCGCAAAAAGAACACGCGAAGACAGTAGACATATTAGGAAGGATAAGTGCGATTTGTTTCTTACACGATTACTAGGCTAAGCCTGCAGTTATAACTTGATTTGAAAAGAAAATATCCTAAGTTTACCCGAATGAAAGTGCTTCTAGAAAACGATCAATAAAGCAGTTTTTCCATTCCAGAAATACCGGGCAGCACTCGGTCGAGCACTGCCGTATTCTATTCGCGGTCATTTCTGGATGGGATTTTTCGAGGGACTTTCGTTCTTCCAAATATACGTTGTCATTGGAGTTGCCCTCTGGTAATTTGTTCTCTAGATGCTGCTGAATTATTCAGTTCATTTTCAAAATTATCACAGTTAAAATCCATATTCCTCAATGCTCTTTGTTAAACGCAGGTCTTCAGGTTTGGGTGTTATGGATTTTTCAACGGTTTGGTTGCTGATCGTGGTGATGTGCTTCTTTGTGTGGGCACAATTTCGCTGACCGCCTACTACCTTGGAATGCTTGGACCACATATGATGGCCTTGTTGAAAGCGAGGGTGGCAGCTGCTGCCATCTACGAAACCATTGATAGGGTGCGAATCTGAGGGCAATGTTATTGAGGGCCTTTATGCTGAATATGCTCTGCATTCAGGTGCCGTCTACCTGGCTGCCAAAAGGAAGGCCTCAGGAAGGAAGTTGCAGCAGGTCACATTGTTTTGAAGGACGTTCATTTCTCCTATTCAACTAGAAAACAGTCAGTCCTGAATGTAAGTGGGCTTTGAGTACACAAGAGCGAGTACATTAAATTTCCCCAGTGTTTAACATTTTCGTTAGGTGAGAGCCGTATTTCGACGTTACTTACTTACTTACTTTACTGCATGCTTGCATGTGGAATAAGAATAAAAAGAAAATGAAAAAAAAACCACAACCACGAGCACAGGTAACGACGGAAAGAAAACGAGTGATATATGTAGATCGAAGCGAACTAGTGAAGCAGAATTAATAGGAGAATCTTATCTGACATAATGAAGATAACGAGCGACCGTGCTTTCGAAGTTGGGAAAAGTAGCCGGAATTTCTGCTACTTTGCTCGTTTTAACCCTTTCGGCCCTGGCGGTGGCAATTGCCACCACCAAATTCAAACGCTTGCATTGCCGCTGAAACAGCATGGTTTTTCTAATCCTGCTAGAGGTTGCTTCAGTCAACCTTCCCCTTCCTAATTATGAGCTAAACCTGCCATTTCATTGTGTGTTGCTGTTAGTATTACAAGTATTTGTGTACAAGTGCAACAATGAATCGGCGCTGACCCCCGCAACCGGCCAAGTAAGTGTCACTTTTTCTTAAAATACTTGAAGTAGATCCATTCCTAAATCAAAATTATGGGTTATAATGTTATGCAAGATTATAAACTTTTTCGGCATAACTATGAAATTTGGAATTGTTTCGACATAAGCTTAAAAACTAAGAAGGTGGGCCAATTTTCAAAGCTTCTTAGTTTCTTTGTTTGTGATCGAATAGCTTCCAAATTTCGCCATAATGATACCTATATGCTCACAAGTAATAAACAATAGCTAGAAGAAAAATTTCTCCACGGGGAAAAATTCAGGTCCGAAAGGGTTAAAGTACTCCATTCCGGCACGAATTGTGAAGAGCCTGCTGTTAACCGAAGTACGAGGCTGTCCAAAAGTGAGCTTGTTGAGCTCCCCTCTAGTTTTTGACTGCATCAGCTCATAAATTTTGGCTTTCAGATTGTCTCGTTAATTAGGGATATTGTATGGATCATAATAATGTCGTTTCTCCAATTCTTAATTGCAGAGGGACTAAATTGAGAATCTTATCTCTAATCAACCCGCGAGGAATGCTACTTTAAATGAATCCGAGAGCTCTGATGAATAGCTTCCTCGGGAAGTTGCTTTGATTTTTTTCTAGCTTCTTTAAAGGTTTTCTGGGAGAAAGTAAATGCATGTACGGTATTCTAGCACTGACCACACATAGATTTTGTACGCCTTAACGAGTAAAACCGGGTCTTTAGTGTTAAGTGATTTGAACAACAAGGAACCTCTCTAATACGTGGCTATTCGGGTGCTCACTAGCAATTCGGTATGGCTTATTCTTCGTTCGTTGAATGCCATATACAGCTTTAAACATCATTTTCATCATTTAATCACTCTTCATCCTTTACCTATTTACTCGTCTAGAACGGCCAATTGGACTGAGAGTTCTTCATTAGCGTGAGTACCGATTTTCAGGGCATTTCGTGGGAAGCCCACAGCGGCGAAACGATTGCGCTTGTTGGAGCAAGTGGTTCCGGCAAAAGCACTTCGGTATGGTCAATTCCTTATGTTGTACTGAAATTTCCTCGCTTCACTCCCACCGCAATGATCTCCTCCCTACTCAGGTCAGTCTACTGACTCGACTCTATGAAGTCAGTGATGGTAAAATAACTATCGATGGAGTGCCTCTCTGTGACTACGATGTGGAATCGCTGAGAAAGGTTCCGTTCCCATGACTTGTGTGGCATATACTTGTTTCGGCCCAAAAAGCTGCGACTTTTAGAGAATTGGATAGTTCAGCAGGAACCTTATTTATTCAATGGCACTGTAAAAGAAAACATATCAATGGGTCGCGACGGAATCGACAACGAGAAAATTATACAAGCTGCCGACACCGCCAATGTTACCGAATTCGTGAATCGTCTTGAGAAGGTAATGTTAGCAAAATTACGGTAAATATTTAGTACTACTATTTACTACTTAGTAGCACCTTGTGATCATTTGTGCATTACTTGCTTGGTGGGAGGCATATTTCTTCGTATACACACTACTGCTTCTACTGTCAGGGTTTCGATACCTACTTGGGCGCTGGTGGTGTGACGCTTTCCGGTGGTCAGAAGCAGCGAATCGCCATAGCCAGGGCCGTTGCTGCTGATCCACGGATTCTTTTCTTGGATGAAGCAACCAGTGCTCTTGACGCAAACAGTGAAAAAGTCGTGCAGGTGGGGTCAAACAAAAATTTCAGTACTGCTGTCACAGGCCTTCTGGTTGTGAGCAAACTTTTTGCCCCAGCCGTAATTCGTACCCGGATCTCTCGACTTATTTATTTATTTATTTCCGGACGCAGTAAAACTGCGTGATCTTGAGTGGTCTTGAGCAGTAGTATAGGTATAGATAGGTTCCATTCCACTGTGCTACCAATTACATCACCTGTCCACTAAGCTAGTCCACTAGCATAGTGAAGTTGTCCACATCTCAACATTCTTGGGATAACTTTCGTAACGCAAAATGCGGCGCAAAACAACTGTGATCCAATAAAAGTATGTCAAAGTGGTTACATCTGATAAAAGTTTCAGTCTTGCGGTTCACTATCGAAATCGGCGATTCGGTTCATCACGTTATACGTGTGAATGCTGATAAGCTATGGTAACTTCACCATCGAAGCTGAGTTGGGGTGAAATGGTGCCCCGGTGGTGTAACTGGTAGCACAATTGCCCGGAAAGCAAGAGATCCGGGTACGAATCCCGGCTGGGGAATTTGTGCCCACAATTCGGTCTTGTGATAACTTAATGCGAGCGCAACGTAAAACTATTCTATTTCCAGTAATTCGTTTTTATACTTGAAAACGCAACGTTGTACATTCACATGAGTGCGCAAAAAGCTTAACTGCATAGAGCAGCGGTTCCGGCAAGGCTCGCCTGCAATATTGCTGGTGCGAAAATGAAGCACTAGCCTAGTCAAGAACATGAAGTATCACTGAACAAAAAACTCCCCTTACAAAGCCGCCAGAAAGGTAGCGGAACGCCTTTGAAGTGGGCGTAGCGGCAGATTAGGACAACACGTCCGACCGTCCGTTTCAAGAATAAACAGATGGAGTCCCTATTTAGCTGCTTCATTGGTGGTTTTCTTTGCTTTTTTCCATTTTAGGTGAATCGCCATCCACAACTTCATTATCGAACTTTTTTACTCTGCAAATCCAATTTGGAGTTGTTCCTTCAAATATCTCCACATTTAGTGCCGCAACCTGAGTTTGAAGCCTTCTGGTCGATTTCGGCGCTTTTAATATACCCTAAAATCCCATAGATAAGAGCGGTCCATAGATATTTTTTCAAAAATAAAATAAAAATAAAAATATTTTTTCAAAATCATTTTTTACCGGTAAATTAAACCGCTCTTATCTATGGAATTTTACTGATCGAATGGGCTCTTCAAGTTCTATCCAGAGATCAAATTCCGGCATTTCTAGAGAGATTCCGGCAGAAATTCCGTTAAAATCGCTATTTTTCTATATGAATTGTTTATTAAGTGGGCGGGGTTTAGAGTTGAGGGACGGGAGCTTCTTCTAAACTTCTTCTCCGATTTTTATTTATCCATCCATCAAGTTAGAGGGGTGACTGCATTCAATTTCAATTTCATTCCAATTCATTTTTCACCGGTAAATTAAACCGCTCTTATCTATGGGATTTTAGGGTATTACTAAATATTATGTTCTGCTGATTGGAGCTTATCCTGTGCCGTCATTGTAGCTCATTGCATTCGCCTCAGAAATGACGCCATTGGCTAGCACATTATCCCCTTACAACTAGCCGTATCATTGAGCCTAACGAGCTACCGTTCCGTTCATTCCTACCTCCGTCTTCAATTTGCCTGATGTTGCTTCAAGCAACACAACTCTTCCCGCTATTGCCGTGTGTCAGTCACTGTTGCTTCTCGGTAGTGTGCTGCATATATTCGCCTTATTAATCGGTTTGATGCTGTCCACTGACGTCAGCTAGGGCGTCCTTTTGATCAATTTCGGCTACCGTAATGCGCCTCGATTTGATTTATCTTTATGTTTGCCTTGTTTTTTATTGCTTGTGATCGCCCCATGGCCAAAATATAGGTGTATTCAATAATACAGTAGCGTTCAAAAGTGTTCACCGAAATATTTTTTTTCGGATTATATTTCTTCTCATCAGGGAAAGGTCTAAAGATTAGTTTGAAGCCTTTCTTTCATATATCTAAACTCTTTAATAGTTTAGGTTTTGAAGGCTGTAAAAGATATGTCTTATTTACATTTGGAGGGCGCTATTTGAGAAAGAAAAAATAATGCACGAAAAAAACGTAAATACTAATACTTTCGACCGCAGCTGTACCTTTATCAACTCACTCACCTCGATCTAAAGTAGGATTCTGACGTTCAGCAACAGCGCCATCCTCGGTGGACGTTACTCGTATTTTGGCCTCTTCCGTCTCTTTTCCTCGACGGACGGGTCAATTGAATTATGTGCAGAATTTTCGGAATCATTTGCAAACAGGCGGCTGGAACTTCGAAGGAACCCGAAGTTTTCGTTTGAGAGGAGGGGTGTACATTATTTTCCAGTGGCTCTTGGAATTGCGAACAGGCAATCGATCAAGCTAATCTTGTCTTTGTTGGAAACTCATTGAAAAGTTTTAGGCGGCCCTGAATAAAGCGGCTAAAGGTCGAACAACTGTTATTATCGCGCATCGTCTCAGCACTATTCGCGAGGTGAAGAAAATATATGTTTTGGAAAAGGGAAAGGTTGTTGAGAAAGGTAAGCAGCATCACCGTTCCCCGTTAATAGAGCTTTTGTTCCATTCAATCTTTCAAAGATTTGCAAAATGACTCCTCTCAGGATCTCACGATGAGCTGATGGCGAAAGGTGGAATATATGCCAGGTTGGCCACTGCGCAACAGTTCCAGGATAGACCTAGCTATGGATCGTCGGGGCGGCTGGAGAGAGTTCCAAGGACTGAACCGCTCCCTCAGTGGTTGGTTTGAACATGATATAAATTCTTCTGGCCTAATTTCTGAACACGACATCGGACCCAACAGTTCAAAGTGATGCGATCGTATGCAAGCTTAAATGAATTACAAAATAATAATAATAATAATAATAATAAGAAACCAGCCAAGGCAAACAACTGGTTTTTAAACAACTAGAGTAAAGTGTTAACGACTTCTCATTATTATCTTCCTTTTTATATGCAATGTTCCAAATCCTCAGCAAAGAATGGAGCAAACTAAGTAAACGGGAAAACAAGCACTAACAAAAGTCAGTCCTGGCAAACAGAGCTTTGCGAGGCAGCAGTACTGCTGGTTCGAAAGCAGCCCTTGGATCAAGGAAACTTTGCTGAGAGCCTAATTAGTTAATTGATTCGGTTGTGATGAGACAATGATAGAGTGGACGTGGAGCAGAAGGCATGATGCGAGACACAACGGATGAGAAAACGCCGCACACCTTCGTATTACGGACCAGAAAAATGAAGCGGTTGAAGCGGAGTTTCTTCGAAGGCCTAAGATTTTTCGCTAGGCACATCGTAAGAACAGACATCTATGGCTTTCCTGAAAAGCTCTATGCTACCGATCAAAAGGATTCATCCATCTGAATCTAGCCCTGGGTTGTGTTTTTGACAGAAATATTTTTGCAAAAACAAGCTTGAGGAATTTTCTTTTGATGTGGCTGGCTGTCAAGATTTCACCGCAGTGTTAGTGAACCGGATTCAAATAAATATGAAAAACGAAATATTCCATTTCAGGTTTCCTGTTGCGCCAAAAAGATCCAGAGCAGGACCACTGCCTTCGGCGTATGTCCCAGTATCTGGCCTTCTGCCTCCTTCAAGTTTTGTGAGTTTCTATTCGGGACCCTCGAATGAGCTCACGTCTGTATTTCAGCAATACCTCACATTTATACTTTGAGCAGCAAGATTTCAAAGAAGATCAAGAAGATCGTTACTATTTCACATAACAACTTGATTTGTGACTAAATGGTTTGAAAGTGTCACACCTAGCGAATGTGTGCACCATTCGCCCTGGCTGCAGCGTATCCGTCTTTTCCAGGACAACGACGCCTCTGGAGGTCTTGGTATTCTCTACCGTAACATGAAGGGTTCACGATTGCTTGCGGTTGTATGTCTCTTTGTAGCTGCAACTCGAGCGCTGGAACTTCCCGGTCTTGGGCTGGCCTATCTCTTTGCCTTCAAGTCGCTGCAGGTAACGTGATTCAAAATAACTGCTGATTAGAAAAATAGTAGATTTATAAAATACAATTCAGATGGACGAAACGACATACCAAAACAGCGCCTTTTACGCGTTTTTGATATCCTGCATATGCGGTGGTATCATATGGTTCGCCCAGTGCAGTTCGGTCAGTCCGTTACAACAACTTTATCGGTTTTTCCGAGGGGGTGGTGAGTGGTCGGCTTGTGTGAATCTTTTCGAACTTCTAAGTCAGAGACTACCAACTTCTGAAGATGTGGTCGATTCAATTCGTTTTAGAGTTGAGTCAAGTCGTAAAGGTATTGAAAGCATAGTTGACGACTAAAGTTTAATCTTCCATTACAATGAAATGCCATATTCGCAAGGCTAGTAAATAAAAAGGATAAAGCATTTGCCGTTGATCAATCCCTTTTTGGGATGCGGCACGCATTCTACTTCCATTTGTACATTCGTAGTGGCGTTTGAATGCGATGTGGCCTATACAATGACTTGCGGGGCCAGCCGATGTACAAGTCAGTGTTTTTATCCTCCCAGACAAGTCTGGTACCAATTAACCGACCCCGGAGGCTTGGTTGGCCCGGGCGACTCACGACCCAGGATTTGATCCCCGGACCGCTCGCGTGGTAAGCGTGCCACTTGCCACTACACCACTTCCGCCCAGTGCTAGTAAATACATTAATTATCATTAATTTCGCTCCTTTTTCTAGGCAGTTCTTTCGAGCAGTCAGCTTCTAATCACCAGCTTCTAATCACTCTCTCCCGCCCAATCAGTGACTTTTCGAGTTATCACTTGACTCTGATGACAACCAAAAACATCCCTTGCTTTCAGAAACCCTCGGTCTTCCGAAAAAGACCGGGATAAGAGAGTTTCAGAGATAAATTTCTATTAAAAACTTCTCGCGAGGGTTGTTGAAGTATTGCCAAAAGCGGAAAAATAATGAGCCTGAACTAAGCTTGCTGAATAAAGCATAGAGCATACAAGTGGACTCTTTTCAGCCGGATCTTTCACTTTTTGAAATGTCTTCTAGTTCCTAGCCCACTTCCAAAGAATTTCGGAAAACCATCGAAATTGAGAGTTCGCTGCGTGCTCATTCAGAGAATTACAAAATTTAATGTCGGATCGAGGAATGGAAAGACAGGGGGACCCTCTAACAAGAATTGTGCTGACCGACCATCAGCAGGTTATCCTCCCGGCGCTTCCCATTCTGTTATCGCCGCTACCTGCTCACCCACTGCTGCTTGGCCGTAGCCTCTTAGCAGGAAGAGCTCTAGAGTTGATTAGTTCAGGTTACCCAGCAGAAAGCCCATCGGGCGGCGCGAAGGCAGGGACGCAGACGGGAGCGGACGAGTCACAGGGCGTGCTGTGTTGGAAGTGCTATAGTGCATTATCTTTCTTGACGCTAAACGCTACAGTACGCGCTGCAACTTGTACGTTGACTTGTCTGCGATTCTGCTCTCTCACCGCGCGATAGCCCCTCGTCGGGTACTTGATGAAGTCGACACCGATATGACTCGTCTATCTTGAAAGGCGACAGGCGGAAGAAGGTCCCAATTCTTGCGGTCCGTCTCATAGTATTTCTTCATACCGCACCACTGCCCACCTCTATCTTGATTCCGATGAGCCTTTTAATCGTAAACTGCGCCTTTAACATCCACTATGAGTTAATAAAAAAATGTACGTTATAGTTCTTCCTTTCTGGCTGGCTGAGTGAGCGAGTTATGGATGCTTTGAGAACTCGGATTCTCAGGAGCCTACTTCATAGACCTATGAGTTATTTCGACTGCAAAGAGACCTCTCCGGCATTTTGTGTGGCCACGATGGCACAACATGCACCCGATGCCATGGCGGTGAGTCTAGGCTTTTGATGTGAAATGAATTCAGTACCAGTGACGGCTGATTAGTAAAGCTTGGCGTTGACATAAAGAACTGAGCTCAGCCTTCTAATGTGGAGTCCACTTAACAGTACTACCTCCCACGCACAAAGTGGAACCTTTTTGCAGCACGGAAATGCCGTACTTGAAGCATGAAATTTCAGTAGAACGCTCTCGCTGTTTGACTTTTAGATCCATAAAGTATATTTCAGAGGGCTCTCATCATTAGGCCTAGATTCTGTGATGAATATTTCCTAAAGCCCACTTCAATTCTTGCTGAAGCATATGGTGGTGGAAGAAAAGATAACTGGACATTGTTCAGGCACTCGATTATCGGTTCATGGTCAACCTGAGCAACCTGTCGGCGAGCATCATCGGTATCGTCCTTGCTTTCACATTTTCCTGGTGGTTAGGTCTTCTTGGAGCAGGTGATTTTTAGAATTCGATTTTGAACAATTAGTTTGGAAAAGGTAGCTGGAGAGGTTACCATTAGTGTAGGTACTTGAGATGAGGAATTACCATAAGATTTGGTTAAGGTCATAGCGAAGTAGGGATGTCGAATAACGTCCCAGTGGTGAAAAAAGCAAAGAAACCCGTCAAGAATGAACAAAAGACTCCTACATAAAGACCTCTGATATTGGACGAGCCAGCAATCAACTAAGGTGATATTGGCACGTCTCAAACCGGCAGCCACCACAACACCATGCCGTCAAACACAAAGCTTTGATTGGCAGCGTATTCTACAGAAAAGGACAGGATTCTCGCTCGAAGTGATATACATTTCCAAAATAATAACGTACCGAGGGGCGGGGCACAGGCGGAGGTAGGGCTCAGTGAGTATTCGCAAGCTCGATGCGCAGTAACTGGCGTACCGTAGGCTGCAAAAAGACCACATCTCTCTCGTTCCCCTAAATGGTGCTTCCACTGGTGTATGCATTTCCACTGCACACACACACTTTATCATAATCCCTCCCTTTAAGGCGCCTTTTCAACCGGTGACCGAACCGTTTCAGTGGCCAGAAGTTCCATTCAAGGCTGTTTGCGTGCAACTTGTGGTTTCGCAGTCTTCTTTCTGCTATCCCTAGCGTCAACTCCGCGCAGTCGCAGAGTCCACGGTCTGTGATAGTCGTCTTTGATCTGTCTGGGACATCTTCTGTGGCCTCACTTGAGTGAAATCCTTCCTGATGCCATCTCTCCACCCTTTCTTTGGGGCTCCTCGCGGTCGCTTGCCTTGCACTTCGAAGTCCATCGCTGTTCTTATCGGATGGTCCTGTGGCCTCCTTAGCACATGCCCATACCATCGCAGACGCTGTTCCTTCACCCGTTCGGATGGGCAGTCTGCATGACCGCTCGGACATCCTCGTTTGAGACCCGGGCCAGTCGTGTTCGCCCGCAGACTTCTTTGCGGCCTAATTCCAGGCTGAAAGCTCCTACGTAATTCCCATTTAGGGGACAGCACTCAGTATGGCAGGTCGGCGCTTTTCTCATACTCCTCCACTTGTCTAGCGATGAAGATAGCATCGGTTGTGGATGGCTCAGGCAAGAACTGTTCATGTAAAGTCGGGGCCAGCTTTGCAGCTCCGGTCGGTAGGCCATACTCTTCATAGTATTCGTCCTCGTATTCCGTTTGTTGCCGTTCTCTCTGACGAACTCTCCACTCACTTCTTACCTTGCCGCATCGTGGAGGCCCATGGCCATGTCGGCCAGGGAGCACCTGTGCTGGAGACCCGGATCTCCCCGGGGACTATCTTGAAGTCCTTCACAATCTTGAGTGATGACGTTCTTACGAGGGAATAGCTAGTTTCCATTTGACGTTGTAAGTCTTTCTTCTCGCGAAGGACGTGCCATGATGAGCCGCCGTTCTGAGAGCCGCATACTTTCCACACAATCGCAGCGTTCGGTAGAACTTACTGCCTGTTAGAAAATGAACCTCGTGCAAAATCAAATACTGGAGTTTGTTCACTCTGCCACCAAAAATCTAACCATCAGGCTTTCTAGTCTAACAGAATATATGACCTGAACACATTCACGCACTCACTGATGATCCTTGTGAAATTTTGAGAGTTTGCAGTTTTGTCGTGCTCCTTGCTCACCTTAACCTTGCTCAATATTCGGCTTACCCATAGATGTCACGAAAGGAAGGACAAAGAAGATCACAGTCCAGAGGTAAGATTTCCTGATAATTTACTACAGAAAAAGGTGAGTCTGAATATCTTGTAGAGTTCCTATTAAATCCCCATTTTTTCCGTAGATCTCTTTTATCTTAGCCCTTTCACTACAGTCGGTACACTACAGTGCGTACCAAAAGTATGTGGACACCCTAGAATCGATTCTCAGGAGTCAGCTAAAGGCTTTTGTGTTATGAAACCTTCACCATTCAACTCCTAGTGGTCGATAACCTACAATGACATTCTCGGCAAAAGATTTCGTTCTAACTTAGCGAACTATTTTTCATGGAAAGTTTTTTCTTTGTATCAAAATTATGTGGACACCCTGAGGCAGATGAAGTTTTTGCATCGATTTCCTAACCTATTTTTACTTCTCCTTTCGTTACTTATTCTGGCATCATTCCTCTTCACGGCAAGCGTTTTTCTGAAGAAGACCGAGCACAGAAATGGGATCCCCATGCTTCTGAACCTTCCTATTGCGAAATAGCACACGTCAACCAGTCATGCGTCCTCGTAGGTTTGGAGAGAAATCCGAAATCCTGATGCTAAGCTCTCGACCTTGACTGAGGGTTGTTCTCAATCGCTACTTGTTCACACAGAGAAGTAGCCTTAATTTTCTCAAACTTTTCTTTTCGTGCTATTCAACTTCACGCATAAATGATCTTCCCGATCTTAAAAAAGACCAATCGGTGTCTCATTCAATCAATTGAGCACACGACACGAAAGAAGATGAAGAAGGGCTTTGTATATGAATGCGGGTTCAGGTTGGCAAGGTTGGAATTCCCACTCAAAAAAGGATCACAACATGATACTTTGAACCCACACAGACAGTGCTTTCGTGGAAATGGTAAAATTAGTATAAAAGACTTTCTGTGGAAATTTCTCTCATAGACCAACTCGACTGGCAGAAAGAAGCTTATTCCTCACTATTCGGGTGGGTATTGTGGTTTTTGGGAAGACTTTGGTCGGACCCGCACATGTGCTCGAAGAGACAATTCGGAAGATGTTCATCAAAGGTCTGGGGTGGTTCCAAAAGGAGGGGGACATTGAAGTTTGGGCTGCCAACATGTCAGGTAGACGACTAGGATTATAATGAGGTGCTTGAGTCCCGGCTACAACCTTTTTCGAAAAGTCATGGTCGCAAATCACTTGTTTTGCAGGGGAGGTCCCTGACACCATTCCATTTGGAAAAATGCTAAACGCAACGGCTTTGATTGGCAAGTCGGCTAGCGTATTCCTCAGACTTCATCCTTATTGAAAACGTAGAGGTATCGTGGTTCGCGGTCTCTACGTCATTGAACAAAAGAGTAATATCACAAGTGACCTAACACGTCGGTGAAATTTGCTAGTTGGGAACAGATCTGCAAGACATGTATCCAGACCCATTCATAGCATGCCAAACAGAATGGCTCAACTTACTAGAAACTTTGGTAGGCCTACCGATTTCAGATTCTGAAGATATTGCCGTTTTTCAAAAAGTGTCCACATAATTTTGATACAAAGAAAAAACTTTCCATGAAAAATAGTTCGCTAAGTTAGAACGAAATCTTTTGCCGAAATATCATTGTAGGTTATCGACCACTAGGAGTTGAATGGTGAAGGTTTCATGACATAAAAGCCTTTAGCTGACCCCTGAGAATCGATTCCAGGGTGTCCACATACTTTTGGTACGCACTGTATGTACTTCGCCCGCAGTCGAGGTACCACCACAATTCAACTAACTTCCTTGCAAAAAGGCGCTTCCGCGGAGATCTATTTTGCATGAAGAAGAAATTTGCAATCTTTGCTGTAGTGGCATTTCTTCACGAGACAATGAGATTCCTTTACAAGTTATCGAGCAATTTCTAGAGTAGTTCGCTGTATAGTGTTTGCGACTTCGAAGAAATGTGATTTCTAGAAGGTTCGCACAAAACCTCTTCAATATTTCTGTACCAGGGGTTAGTCGTGTGCTTAATTTTTATACCAGCTGTTACACAAACGACCAAAATTTGATAAAATTTTTGCTAGCTAGCTGAAAAAGGAATTAGATGAACTTCTGGATTTTGATGACATTATTACCGAGCTCAAATTCTCATATATCAAGGAGCAATTCACGATAAGAACGAAGGTCAAAGAAGGGAAAATTGCATAGTTGGGAGACAGGCGGACCTCCTGAGGGTGCTGACCGACGCGCAATTGGCAGCGAAAGATTTGACCTCGGCGATCTAGCATGGCTCACTCTTGGCGCGGTTGGCGGGGTACGCCCACCTAATCACTCGCCGCAGGTCTATACGTGGCGAGTGATTAGATAGCAGAGAGAGCGTAGTGTTGAAGAGGGCACAGCGATGAGAGTCGCATCAATGCGCAAATCAACGGGCAAGGAAGGGGTCCCATTTCTCGGGTTTCGGGCCGTTTCAAATGTTTTTTTCTTCATCCCTGCTCCACTGACCACCTCTACCCTTATTTCCAATGAGCTAACTTTTCATCGTAAATTAATGGCGGCAAGAGAGTGGTAGGTTGGAAGTTTTGAGCCCGAAAGTCGGTATCATGCCATCATCACGCTTATCAGTAGAGTGATCATGCTGGAAGCGCATTACACCCGGCTGTCTCAGACAGGAGAGATAGGGCTGCTAAAACTCAAGCGCCCTTTCGAAAATGAAAGCGAATGTCGCTGCTACTAGCTGCACACAGTCACCTAAATCACCAATCGAATCATTGGGTGGGAAGGTTGTGGGGGGATACGGCTTTCAACCTGTAAAGCCTTACTGCGCTGCGAATACCTCCCCTTTCGTCACGGTACGTCGCATCTCCATTCCTTGGCAGCTTGGCTACTGGTTTCAGAGGGGCTCATACGGACGTTCTCGGTGCGCGGCCGATTTATCGTGATCACCTCCTTCCACTTAAACTTTGCTTGACCAAACTGATCTCCAACTGCTCGTTAGTGTGACATTGTCGTTAGTGAAAACTTATCTTCTCAAGCATTCAGAGCGCCATTGAAATTATTGAGCAAGCACGATCTATCAAACTGGCAGTAGTTGAAAAGCAGTTCTTGAGAAAGTACGCAGAACAACGTCAAGCGTCTATGCGTCACGACTTCTGGGTAAGTGCCGATGTTTTTGAATTCAGCTCATGGTCGCATGCTGGAATTCAGTTTTTGATGTTGTATTTCCGAAAATTTCCAGATAGGACTCATCGAAGCGGTCAACTTTGCCACAACACAGTCCTTTGTGTTCTTCAGTGATATGCTCTGCTATTTGCTGGGAACCTGCTTGATTTACCAGGGTGTTCACACTACAGAAACGGTTTTTTTGTGAGGATCTTCCTTCATATCTTTTACTTACACTGTGAATTCTAAAAATCTAATATAACACATTTTCAAAAGAGCTTTGCCCCTCTTCGAAGGTTACCACAAATAGCCGTGTTTGAGGAAGCCTTCGTAAGCTTTCCATGAAAGGTTTGTGCCAATCGCGCAATTTTGTGGATTATGAACGAAACTCCAACTTCAATTTCATCCCTCAGTGGCGACATTATAGACATCAGGCATGGTATTCTATTCCACCTTTCTCTTTCAACAGCGTGACTTGAGGCGTGAGTGTGCTTTCGTTTTCGTTCACACTCGAGAGGAGGGAGCGGACACTGAGTGGGGTAAATGTGCTGTCACAAAGGCTCCTTTTTAGCCCTACTGGGAA